TGTTACTAATTACAGAATTTACGATAATTAACATCCATTTGTGACTCACATCCCAAGATAATTTCACGAAGGACATTCATATGTATGTCTATCCATATATGAATGTATACAAATCTAAAGGTATTCTCAGACCAAATGCCCAGTATTGCATTTGTCAAATGTTTTGTTAATTCTAACTTTGATCTAGAACCTAAGTATACACATGTATACATAGGCCTATGTCTGTAAATACTTGTAGATATTTAAGCATATGCAGTATATACATATATCATATATATGTACACTTATCAATCCATCTATCAATTTACATCACTTTCTGCTTTGCAGCAATTTTAAGTTTAATTTTCAACTTCTATTGTCTTTATGAAGAACTAGATGGGCACCATTCAATAAGCCTAAGGTTAGATGAGTTAAAATACCTAGGCAGAAGAGTTAAGACTAGACTGAAAATAAGGAACCTACAATCTAACCTGCATTAACTAACTAGAGCATATGTTCATGATTTTCTATCTCACTAACAATCTCAGTATCATAACACAATCTATTGAGAGCAAATTCATTGCTGCCGGCCATAACTCAAAAAAATTACACCAGGATTTAACAAACATTATTCTCATTAAGGTTTCTGTTTGCCAAGCCTCAGTACAGCACTGCCATGGCATCCATTCAAAGCAAAATGCAGGTTCATGGTGATAGACAAGATGATGGTGATAATGATTTTGACAATGAGTGGGAAAGAATGTGATTAGAGTCCATCCTAATAAATCACTTAAAGTAACTCAATAATGCCTTCCTCTTTCCATCAAGGGGGAGTGGGGGGGGCACCATATACTAACTTCTAATAAAGAAAAACTAGTTATGTACATAAAAATCTATCTTATCACAAATTGCTGCCATCATACATACCTAAAAAGTTACCACCCCTCAGCTAAAATACATTTGTTTGATATTACATTTGATAAATTAGTGTGGAATGTACAATTTGTGAGCCATGACTGGAAGAGCACCTGTTCCTTGGAGAATGTTGTTTCCATGCTCAGACTCTAGTACTACCAACAGCAAACCTTCATTAAACTCTTTTAAGTCTTAACCCATTCGTTCCAGGTGTCACATATACGAGACACCGGAAAAAATAAACATTGCCGGAAGGCCCGCCAGTGTGACGCTGTATCGGGGCTATGCTCCGACGCAGCAGCGGCGCGCAGCCGGGCGGGCGGACAGACTCCGGGGAAGCTCCGCCCGCCAATTTTTTATTTTGGCTAAAAAATGTACCCGGCGTGAGTGGGTTAACTATAAATACTGTGTAATCACTACCAGAAAAGGTGAACTGGTATAAGGTGGGCCACAAAAAAGGCCTGAGTATCTCTTGATACAGGGTACAAGTAAGCTTCTGCCATGTACTCTGAACTTGTACGCTAAGTAAGTTCCTCATACAAAAACAATATCAAGTCCTAAATACCTATCTCATGAATTTTGGCACATTTTTACAAAAGAAATGGTGCAGACAAAGGGGCAAGGAAATCAATTCATGGCTGCTCATCAAGGATTGCCTCTGTGATCAACATTCCAACACCAAAAGACATTTTTGGTATGCCAAGTGAGCCTTCCCAGGCCAGGGACATTCTCCTCTAAAACAATGACCTATGAATTACAGCCAAAGAACTAAAAATGCTGCAATAATGAAATCTATTTATGAGATCATTCAACATAATAAAATCTAACCAAGTATTCAAAGAATCAATCCCCAGTCCTACTGAAACTAGAGCATGTACCCTTGCCTTGCATTAACATATCTTTAACAGGTCTTTGTTGAGCAAATTCCATATCATATAAAAACACACTATCCTCATCTGACTTCTCTTACATGGGTTAGTAGTTTTACTGAATTTCAGTAATAAAACAAATCAATCGATAATTTTGCCAATATTTGACATGTGCTGCCTTAGAATTGTTATTTCCTACTATGATTGAACATCAATCAGAAAAAGATAATTAAAGATTCATTATTTTGTAGTCTAAACAATTTCATTTTATCAAGGACCTACATACTATATATCATTTGGGACAATTAACCTTTTGTGACTATACAGAAATTTTGTAAGGTCATTTCCTCTTTTGCATAAGCATTTTCAGCCATTTGCCATTTTTTAATGTCAATATTTGTAATTTTATCTGCTTTATCCAGATGGTAATAACCTGCTTTTCTTTCACAGATCCCATATCCTCTCTCTCGCTAGTCCTTAATGGAGTGCAACAATAAAAACAATGTTTAATAGTGTTATTTGTCCTTTTTTCATATTTTTTTTTATAATACAATCTGTGCCATCAGTCATAGTGGGCAGGACTATAATTCCTAAGCATGGAAAATGTGTCCTCTCTGTGAGCAAGTGCTTTTCCAGTCATGGCTCAAGGATGGTACATTCCACATTCATTTGTAATAAAAAAGCTCCTTCCTAATTTCCCACCAAGTCTGATCACCCACCAACAGCTTTGTGTATATGTGTAGAGTCAGTCCTGTCACCCTGGCCTCCAGCTGTAATTCTCATGACAGTAAGCTCCTATCACCTTGGATCTCAGCTTAATTTTCCCATAGAGGCATGGTCACCTCACCCTCCAAGTTTTTTTTCATGATGTTATGGTCACGTCATCAAGATCTTAGGGCTTAATAATACTAATAATTTAAAAGCAGTCTGTCCACAGACACAGACACAAACACACAAAAAAAAAGGAAACTAAAGTCACAGAGGACATGCCATGTATATATACCTTCTCAGCCACAACCCTTCTTCTCTCTACTCTTTTAAATGTTTACTTGTAACATTCTCACACGTTTATTTTTCATAACTCGTCATATCTGCTTTGTACCTTAAAAATTTATTTCCCTCATAATTCTCATTCATAATCTATTCATATACTTGAAGAGATTGTTTCAACTTATTCACACATTTTAATTTTTGATTTCATGACCTTCACAAAATTATAATTGATCCATTAAACAGAATGCATTCTGCCATGCCTGTGCTATGCCAAGCTCTTTGTGACAAATTCAAGTATTCATTAAATTTTAGCCCTCATACTCATACTCGTTTCATATGATAATGTACGAAGTAAATTGAAATCTTAAAATCTTAAGAAAGATATTTCTTGTGCCCCTTTACTAAAGCAACTGTCACACTAGTATTGTCTGTCAGCTACAATGGCAGGATTGGTCTCACTATATAGTGTCACCCTGTATAGAAACCTGTCCCAGGAGAGACCAGTCTACAATAACTTCCTTGAACTTCACATCGAAGATAGTTGTGGATTCTATGAATATCATCACATACTGACAGAAAATTTTAAGAGATTATATCTAGCCATCTCATTACTTACAACAGTACCAGCTACCCCAATACCCCATATTTCTTTGGAAATAAAAAATCTGACAATATTCTTCGCAATAGCATATGCCACTGTGAAAGTGCAGACAGTAATGTATGAGATATAATTATGGGAAGAAGGAAGCTAGTACTATAACTGTAATTTCATAAAATATTATCAATTGTCGATCCTGACAAAGTCTTGCCAGCCCTATGATTATAACAATTGCAAACCAAAGGTTCTGATTGATTTCATCCATCATTGGAATCTCTAGCCTTCTACTATCAAGATATTTGTAAAAGGTATTCCATGTCAGTCTTCTGCCGCTTGCTTTGTCCAGCAAAGCATAAATAATTCTGAAGAAAGCTCAGTCTTCAGCAAGTCAAGACCGGGTTTGTTTTTGCACTCCTTGATCAAATGAACATTGTTTGGATGATTTTTAAGATTTTACTGAGGCACCATTGTTCCTTGTAATACACACTTCAATTATTTCTGTAGTACAATTAAACTTGGCATAATAATAATAATAAAAAAATAGTAATCATACTAGCTTTTGTTCTGGCATCATCTTTCCCTCTCTAGTTAGGGCAAAAGAGCAACTTTGCAGTTCTCGCTCTATGAAGCTCTAGGCCAGGATTTTCAGCTCGGTTCCTTGCACAGCTGTAAAGGGATCACTGGATACAAGACTTGGGAGTTCCAGTTAATTGTTCCCCATTATTCGTCATTTCACTCTCTCGTCCTTGACATTTTAAGGATGTGACATGTTTCACTTTTGTTGTAAGGGCTTTGAAAAATTACATACAAATATCTACAAATAAACAAATAAGTAGAAACAAAAGAAGCCACAATGTCAATTTACATAAAACAAATGAGATCATTAATTCCAAAATATGTATACATGTACCAAAATCTGAAAGTTTTCACATGTTAACAAGAACTAAAGTAAATACAAAAATCTCAAACACACCTCCTGGAATTGTTTTTACCCATTCTTCTATAAACAGTGTATGATAATCAATGCCATGTTCCCAATAACCCACAAGTGCCACGGTAAACCATTTTTTTCTTCAAACCGACAAACTATATCTCATTTTTCCAAAATTCAAATATCCACTGAGGCACTTCATTTTGCAATGTTTTTTTTTTTTCCCAATGAAAACAAGAAATTTCAATGGGCATCAAAATTATAGAGCCGAACGTTCATCAGACCAAGTAAGCGCATGTTAGTGTG